ATGGTTTATTAATTTTATTGTTTTCTTTTTATGAAGCGTTAACTTAATTCAAAATAAAAGTTAATATAAATGCGTACAAAGAACCTAGTAATTAAGAGTTAGTTTGTTAACATCATGATACACAAGTTATCAATATAGTTTATTTTTCAAATGATCAATTTTATTAATTTACAATATTCATCTTTATAATCCACTACCTAATAATAGCATAAGAAGCAATAATGAACATTCGTCCTACAAATTACGCCATGAGACAATTATTATCCTTGTATCATCGTCGTCGTTATTATTCATATACATATATCCATATATTTATATATGTATATATATATATGTGTATGTAAACTTTCAGTCATCAAGAAAATATCAGAACAAAATTTATTTTACTAACATTCTAGCTACTACTACGCTAATTTAATTGTTATTTAAAATTGTATTGCCAAAAATACGAGTTGTTAATATTTTCTTTTTTCGGTTGCACACAAATGATGCCTTTTTTTTTAGTATTCAATTTGTACTGACATTTATTAGAATTTACTACAATTGTTCGTGACAACGAAAAGTTCTCTTACTCCATTCTTTCTTTTCTTTTTCTTCCTTTTTTAATTACGTTCCATTATAATCATTTCCTCATCGGTATTCGATCAGATATGAAAACTTGTTTGAACATTATGCAAACACTAATATTGATTTGCGAATAATTACGTCGTTTTTGGCAGGACATGAAGTTTAAAATGCAAGCCCATATTACTTTTGTACTTCGTGAAAATCATTAATTGGAATGTCAACTTCGTGTTGCGTGACACTGTTATAAAGCAATAACATTACAAATAAAAGAACCAATTTTTTTCTGAAGAGCGATCCGCTCGATTACTAATATCTCTTCCGTTCGATTTAATACCATCGCATTCAAAATAATAGGAAAAACAGTACGTGCACACATTTTGCAACGCATATAGAACCTGAACATGTTAGAAAAATCGATATCGTAGAGTAGAAAAAGAATTCATGTTAAGATTTATTAGTTTCAGCAGTAAAGTAAACAAATTATCAGAGAATCGTGATTCGAAGCGTGGTACATAGAAAAATGTTCTAAAATAATATATGTTCCGGCAATGTATCAAAAAATGTATGTACATAAGCGTTTTAATCTGTACTTATTGGTTTTGTTGTTTACGCAAAGAAAGAAGAGGAAGCAAAGAACCGATCTGACAAAATGTAGCATATTATATGTTACGTGCTAAATCGCAAAAACAATTGTCATTGTATAATTAAATGATTTTGTAGTTCGTTTATAAAATAGTTCCGTTCTTCGGCGTTAATAAGGTACTGCCTGATACTCTAAACAGCGACGTACACTAAACAATTTTTTTTTTATAATTGAATACCAAACATTGTTAACTACACAATATAAGGTTTACCGTTCGACCTGATCATGTAGAGCAATCTATCGTTACTTGTGTACAATTTCTAAATGAATACGGATACGAATACGAGTACGAATATAAATACAAATACGATTACGAATAGCTGAATACTTGGTACAGTTACAAATTACAAGTGTGAAAATTATGTCTAATAATATTTTGAACGATTACACGTATGTTTAACCCGTAATTATTCTAAATCACACTCACAAAAATTTGCTAGTATATTAACTATTATTTAATTAGGAATTGAAACGTCGTGTCACGTTGGATGATTTGTTTTGTTCACATCGAAGAATGTACAAATGAATAATAATTCGATATCTTTTCTTTCTTTTTTTTTTTCAAGTCGAACAGGAAATCCATTTGACTTTATAAAAATTGATTTATAACACGAAACGCTCTATTAAAATTCTATGTTGTACAAATTGCTTGGTATACGATTAATAATACTACGCAGTCATCATATTAAAATTATGTTGCTGGTTGTTTTTATACTTCCACCGAAAAATTCTTTTTTTAACTGGCAGCACCTTTAATTTTAATTCAATATCATTGAAATATTGCAATTTCATTTTTTTTCTCGTACGTTGCAGAGACGGTTGTAATTATTTTTCTTAGATGCGTCAATTAATCTGTTAAACTGGGTCGTTTGCGGGATATGAATGACATTATCGATTCTTATTTCCTTATAAAAATCTGGTAAAATCCGTCTCTGGTAAACACTGGCGTACTTCGATTCGAACAATTTCTAGGTACATATAAAATATTCAAATCCATAGAAAAATTAGTAATGATACATGAGCTCGGAATACATAGAATCACAATTATCGTATAAAATGCATATACAGAAGTAACCACAACCAGAACAATCGTAGATATTCATAAAACCTTTTTTATAGTCTATCATTATTATCTTGCAAATATTGTTTCAATTATTTACTATCGTTCATGTCAGGGTGACCACAAACGCTTGCATTCTCGGAATTTTTGATTCACTCGTCCAAAGTAACACGATCAATAATTTGCTCTTACAGCAAACGGTGATTAATTCACGTTTGAATTTCAGAAGGTTGTTCTTAACTGCAGCAATTAGGATCACCCTGCAGAAGTGTTGTACGAGCGACATTCGCACCTTTTGATGTTAAAATGTTCTATTTTGTTTCACACTCTGAATTGTGTTTTTTGTATTTTGAGAGAACGAGTCATTTCAATTTTCGAAAATATCTTCTCGTTCGTACAACGGATCGATTTAAGTAAAATATTTATTATCACAATATACATGCTTCACATAATGCGAATATACCTTTGCTTTCTCTGTGTTTTTCTCGAATGTTTCTAGATCTCTTTGCGCTATAAGAAGAGCAATGTCTATTCGTGACAAGCTTAATCATAGAATTTACAAATACTCTTTCCATTCGCAATATTTCGAAAATTCATTACTACTGCACTTTAGGCTATGCAAATATTATTGTACCGGAAGACGGTGTTGTAATATTGCAAAAATATTAAAATACTTTAACGGACACGTATTTCCATGTAATCCTGCATACTTAAACGGCGGAAATCGAATCGGTATCAAGTGTATTTTTCATTCTTGTATCAAGTATTAAAGGGTCGCCTTACATTTCTTGTTTCACTCAACATAGTAAGATACATTTAATCGGTCGAGTGTAAACTGAGTGCAATCAATCGGCTACACATTC